CGCACGTAGGCACGTCACGCCGGACAGCCTACCAAAAGAACGTCGAACAATTGTGGAACGTGCAATGAGCTGCCGAGACGCCGCGAAGTCCGGCTGTTTGAATTGCAGGTGAACATCCCTCCGTAGGCCATCTCCAATGGCAAGGTACTTCACAATCCAACACAGCCCGCCGCACCCGCCCAAGAGATTGGCTGCGAACAGCACCCACCCACACCACACCCAGAGAACGCAAGTTAACCACACTACCCRAACAACGGCGCGCGCGAAGGAACCACCGACAGCTTCGGCCCACATCCGGATGCCACCGCCCGCCCAAAACGTACCGACAGCGAAGTGCACAACCTCATCTCTCCATCGAGAAACGCGGGTGAAGAGAGAAACGAATGCACCACGCTTCCAACACGCCCGGACGGACGGAAAGCCTCCACCTGTGCACGGGGGCGCAAAAGGAACACAACCCCTCTCCCCCCTGGGCCCACACCCGCCGGTTGCCGCGGGCACCACCAACAGCACTTGACGCAGGCGAAACCCAGGAGACAACGGATAGTAGCCTTCGAAACCCACAACCTAAACGCAGCGGAACCACGACGCAACGGGATCCGTCACGGTGTGCAGCATACTGAGACCACAGGATGGGGGACACGACGGGGACAAGCGCGGATTCCAAGAACTCAGGCGGATGACAGGCCCAGCCTCGCGACGCCGTCGGGGGGTGCATCACGAATCCCACAAGTCTCCGCCCTCGCACACGGTAAGCAGCGCATGCATGGCCGAGGCCACCTGCGCCACCGCTCAATGGCGCCGCTCGGATGGCAAAGAACGTAGAGCGTCCTCACCAAGTCGTGACACCCCCTCAACACAAACGGAACGCGCCGTTGTGAGTGCGGACACGAAGACGACACCACAACAAAGCCGCAACAGCTCTCCCCGTAACCTACAGGATGATGGTGCCGAAGTTGAGAGCCGGTGATGGGCACCTCCGCCTCCACACCCTGCAAACGACCGCCAACCGGACCGCCGTCGGCGATCAGGAGCCAATCATCGCAAGACGATGAGCGAGGGTGAACGCAACGATCAACAACCCGGCACCACGGCATAGGAAAGCCCCGACAGCCGCGACCGCCGCCAACGACGACCGAGCTGTCGTGAAATAAGCCCTCTGAGAGAGACGACCATGGACCCGAACGGCGCCGCAAAAATGTTCGCTCGACCACCAAAGCACGACTCGCCCGTCCCTTGCAAACTGGAAACCACCCAAAGCGTGTGCAGAGAGTCCCCCGTAACTCGAGTACAAGGTCCCAAAACCCACGCCCGGAACGTCGCCTTCGTCGACTGCAAGGGGGCTGCTAAGCACGCAGKCCCCTATAAGAGTGCAAACGGGACTCCGAACCGCCAACCACCGACTATTTGGCACATGCGGAGGGTGCTCACAGAGCCATCCGCCGAGGGACCTGCACGTGTCCCTTTCCAGCAAGCTGACTGAGCAGACCCCAATGGCGATGTCCCCCTCGGGACCTCATCCCTTTCCCCTCTCAATAAGACGCCTCTGGACCTTCGATCCTGGGAGACCCCCTTTTCTCCGGGCCGTTCCTACGCCCGAGTGGCAGTGCGCGGTATCTGCTGCCCCCACAAAATTCGACACCTCAAAAGTCCGTCCCATCTCCGTCCCTTCCACACACAAAGGGATAAGGGGAAGGGCCGGGG